TCAAGCAAGGTCTTTGTGCTAATCCGCGTTATATTCATATAAAAAATTACATTAATGCTACCAGACGATCGTTTCGGCTTTACATCAAGTCCTCTTCAGTAGTCTTTTATAAAATATTACATACGTGTCGCTTCATCTTCGTGTGTTACATATATATATATTTGTCCGATTTACTTGTATTACATTTTTAAACATTTTGTTAAGGATAGACATTAATATTAACATATATATGCAATTAGTCCTGTATTATGTTGGATGATTTATAATGCAACTAAAGAATTAAAAAAATTTAATATTGAACAACTTTAAATAAATATTTTTAATAAATATTCAAATATTGAGTCGTTTAAAAAAAAAACTTTACGAAGTATGAGACATCTTTACTGTATGTCTTATCAAGAAAACAATAATTATAACGACGTTTTAAAAAACAAAACATGCGGACGCTTTTATCTGTAATTGATATTACAAAAGTACGGAAAATTTTTAAGATAAAGCATGATAAAAGAGACCAACTTTGAATTTTTCTGATAGATGAATTCTTGAAGAAGAACTAAAAAATGAACTACAAGAACTACATTTAAAAAAACATAAATAAGTGTTTGTCTGAAAAGTTTATACGTGTTTTTAAAAAATCTATTCAACTAAATCTAAGAATAAGTGCATTTTAAGACTAATATTATAGTTAAGTTTATTATAAAGTACAAATTATTTATGTTGAAATTAAAATATCTTAAATAATATTAATTTTGAATAAATTTGATTAAACAAATTTTAATAACTGTCTAATAAGATGCATTAAATTTGAGAATAATTAAAAGGATATATAAACATCATTCTTCAACTGCAAACATAAACTTGTACAATTAAGTTATAATGCAACATTAAAGTCCAACTATTTATCTGTGCAAATATTGAAAAATATTTGTAGTTAAATTCAGTTAAATTTGAATAAACTGACAATTTTCCGTATATTTCAAACAATCATCTAATTACGAACGCTTCGAACAGAGTAATTATTTCTTAAAAAGGGAGATTTCTCTCTCTCTCTCTCTCTCTCTCTCTCTCTCTCTCTTGATAATATATACGTAATATATACATAAACAAATATATATATATATATATAAATTTTTCTATTCCTCTTAGATAACTTCAAGATTATTTCAGATAAGTTTTACTAAACACATTTTTATTATAAAACTTCTTAATATATATTTTACTAAAAAAGATTGATACTTTGTGTGGTATTTTATAAACCTTTATATACATATATATATAAAGATTTATATATATATATATATATATATATATATAAACGTTTTGGACTTTGATTTTTGCTTACTCTTTACGTGCCACATATATGCATATATACACATGCGGACTTTTTCTCACTCATTATTGCAATTTCCCATTTTACTCTTTAATTCTCTTTCATTTCTTCAATCGTTATTTCGTTCTTTTCCTCTTATAAGAGACCCACACAATGTGCACAATATAACTACAGCATAGAGATGCCTGTCGTAGGCATCGAAAAATTAAAAAATTTTTATTTTATTATTTTATTATTTATATTTATTTTATTTCCGATCTAGTTTTTGGGTGGAATGTGATCTAAAGAGAGTCAAGATGCTTGGATAATGTTCTCTATGCTGTAGCTATATTGTGCACCTAATTGTGTGGGTCTCTAATTGTTACTGATCATAGTAAAGAACATGTTTCGACATACTTGTTGATTACAAAAAATTATAATGTTAATAATGTTAAACAAAAACTGCTACCTGAAAAAAATACCACACAAAGTATCAATCTTTTTTAGTATATATATTATAAGAAATTTCTACCCCGCACAGCGGGCAAGGGCACTTAAAGCAGTGCCGTACACCGTCGTCACCACGCGGCTGACAATAGGGTAAGCGATCACGCACGTTAAGCGTGAGCAACTCGATCGCACAGCGTAATAGCAGCGGCGCGCGCACCCTGGAACGCACGGATAAAACCGGCGAACACGGGCAGCCAGAGAGGCATTTTGCGCGAGGACTTTTGCGAGCGACTTTCTGTATAGTGCCTGTGTAAAATAAACGAGTGTACATGTGATAACTCTGCATCTATCTTTTAATTCTGACTTTGGTCTCGTCCACGCCTCCCTTCATCGCAACCTGTCGCGATCAAATCAACGCACGTATACCGGGAGACTCCGCATTTAAGAGCCTTAATTAAGGCCCAACAATATAAATATGTATTAAGAAAAAAAAAAAATATATATATATATATTAAGAAGAAGTTTTATAATAAAAATTTGTTTAGTAAAACTTATCTGAAATAATCTTGAAGTCATCCAAGAGAAAAAGAACAATTTTTATCAATATCGAAAACAATGCAGTAATAATTAATTTTACAATATATATATATATATATATATATA